CAGCCTGTGCCGCGAAGGGGCCCCGGGCGCAGCCAGCCCTGGGGGAGCGGGTGCTCCTGGGGGCCAGGAGCCCTCTGTTTCTACACTGTCTCCTCTCAAGGGCATCGAAGGAACAGGAAAGGTGATGGCTATCTTTTTTGCAGCTGAGCCTGAGACTCGAGGAGGTTACCCTCCACTGGGGACGGCCCCAGCAGGTGTTATGACATTATGGTAATCACAGTTTGCTGCCTGTGATGCTGCAGACCCCTTGGACCTCAGCTGCTTGGAGGGCTTTGGGGCTGCCTGCAGCACACATCCAGGACAAGCGCTTCCGTGCAAGCCTTGTCGTGCTAACTCTTCACATCCCGCCTCGCCCCTGCCCTATCTACACTAGCACAATTTTGCCTGTGTAAATATGTGTTGTTCCAGGAAGGCAAGATCACTTCCAGGAAGCAAACCAGCCGTGCCTAAAAGAACGATCTCATCACTCTGTCCAAGTGGGCTTCTACAAGCCCACAGCTGCTACTCAGGGCTCACGTACCTTCACCACCCCAGCCGGTGCCCCTGTGCTAGTGTGGGTCTAGACACCAAAGCAGAAGCTCTACTGGTCCAGAATAACTTTACCCCAGTGTGGCCGTGTCCCTAGTAGGATGTAATAATCAAAACAGAGCTCTCCCTGCAGTGATGCAGAATGCCTTTTAAGTGGAGACCTGCTCTAAAAGTGCAGATATGTCTTCTTGCAAGTAGGTCCAAGTAGGTCTATTCCTGCTCATTGCTCAGCAGCCACAGATGTTACCTTTGCCTTTGATCTGCCATCAAAGCTGATCATATGGGCACTCCTCAAAGTGTCACAGGCACCATAAAATGGGATAGGCTAAACCACACAAAGAGTAAGTCTTCTCTAATCTGCCTCAGGTTGGGTAGATGGAAATAGTTGGTGTGTGGTGAAGCCTGGCAACCCTGATTGACCAGAGGAAAGCAGGTGGGGCAAAACCGGGACTCCCCGGGCATAAGCCACATCCCGCAACGGCTGCTTGAAATTGTTTTCACCCTGCCACCTCTTCTTGTTCATGTACCTGCCTCACTTTCCCTTCCAGCCCTTCGTTCTGCTGATTCCCCAGCCTGGGACCTTGTTCCAAGCTGTTCCCCTGGCATGAGCCAAAATTTTAAAAGCCTTCTTCCTATTTTGTTTTATTTACTTTGTTGGAAGGAGGGGAGAAGGGGGGAAGAAAGCCTTAAATGTGTCACGAAGGGAACTGTAGCACAGAGCACAGAACACCAACCAGAGCTGCGGCTGGCGTTTCTAACCATTCAGTTGGGATTTAGCAGAGGGGACTTGCTTAATCGGACAAACAAGGGCAGTGAGAAGAGGGGAAACGGGGAAGCAAAAAGTGAAAGGAGTTGGTTAGGGCTGAGCTGAATCCTGGAAATGAGAGAGCAGGGTGGTGAATCAGAGCCCAGGGCAGCAGGGCACCGTGCCCCAAGGTAGCAGCAGGGCTTTGCTGATGCCATGCTGTGGCAGTCCCTATTGCAGCAGCCTGGCTCCAGGCCCAGCAGCCGAGTTTCTGGGTGGCTCCTGCAGCAAAATCATTGCTAATTAAATATATTTGAAAGGTTGGATCATTGGTTGTGGTGATGTCTCACCTTTGACCATGCCCGCACCAAACAAATCAAAAACCAACCAAGAGAGCTTCTTTGATTTCCTAGCCCAAGGCATCCTTTTAGGAGTCAGATAAAAGCGATTTTGCAAGTACTGCATCTAGCCACCACTTGGCTAGTGCAGTTCTGCTGGAATATTGCAGACTTCCAGAAATTAATAGGACTCAGGATTTAATTTATTTAAATGAAGGTTGTGGTGGAGTGGCAATCCTGGAAGACAAGAACAAGTACAAGTTTCCTCAGAACAAATTAACTCACTCAGTCCGTGCAGCCTCCACAGGGAAATCCCTGCTCATCTCCTGTCTGATGAAGATTGTCCATCCTCAGGATCCTGCTGGGCCTTGTTTACATCAGCAAAATTAATGCCTTGCCTTTTAAAGAGAGATTGCCACTTTTCTGCTAATCCCTGCTCATTTTTACATTATCTTCATTTTTACCTCCTCCCTCCTCCATGTATCTATTTATCTAACCTGAATCTGTTTCTCTCACATTTCTCCAACACATGAGAATGCTTTTCTCCATCTGCCTTTACTGCATCTAGACTCAAAGGGAGGCTAATTCTTTACAGGATTACTGTGATACGCAGATTTACCTCGCGAATCCTTTATTGCAGCGTCTGGCCCCAAACTGCCCTGGAAGCCTGCTCTGGGCAGCCCGTCCGTTGACTGGTAGCCAGACAGTTGCCGGTTGCTATGAAGTGGGAAGTCTACATAAAGTAATATCTTGTTTGCTGCCTGGGAGAGGCCAATAAGCCGGGTGCAGAGGCGGCAGGGGGCACATCCCGCCGGAAGGCAAGCGGCGGCTGTCGGTCCCATCTCCCATCCAGCCCGTCGCTCCTGGAGGTGCTGATGCCTCAGAAGGCTGCGGCTGGCTCCCGCCATGCGCCTGACCCAGTTTTCTCAGCTCTATCAGTTGGTGAAATGAGAGTTGGTGAAATCAGCTGGTGAAATGAGAGCTCATGTCTCTCTATGGTCTCCCCTGAACGAAGTGCAAGTTGCCCAGAGCCTGCAGTCACAAACGGGTCAAGATATCTGGGGAGCCCGGGCAGCTCCACGGCCAGTCCTGGTATGCTCTCTCCTTGCCCAGCACCATGGGTGGCCCGGAGCAGTCGGGAAAGCATAGCTCCCCACCAACCCTGACCTGGAGCTCTTCACTCCTGATTTTTCATTTCCAGACATCTCTGTGTCTCCTTTCAACTCCTCCTACATGCAATGGAGGAGCTGCCCAGAAATATGCGTAAAACTACTTAATTGCTCTTCTTTAACTGACTGGGCTGCTGATTGCTGCTAGTGCTGATTACGAGGTTGGCTGCGATGACTTCACCTCCTCTTCACTGCCTCTCTTCTGCGTCTATTATCTCCGCTCAGGCTGCAGACGTTCGGAGGCGTGGATTATCCCAGGGGTTATCCCATGGATTATCCCAGGGGTTATCTCAGGGGTTATCCCTCAGCACTCCTTGCACAGCACCTATCACTTGTCAGCTCAGAGTGGACACAACCCCCTGCTGTGTGGTGGGCTATAGGCCAGGAGGTTCACCCCACACGTGCCTGCTGCTGGGTGTCCCAGGGCCTTTGCGGGGTGTCTGGGGCCATCACTGATGTCCCAGATTCATTGCTGGGTGTCCCAAGGCCATTGTTGACTGCCAGATTCATTGCTGGGTGTCCCAAGGCCGTTGCTGACTGCCCCATACTATTGCTGGGCATCACCAGTGCCATCACTGGTGTCCAGGGGCCAACAACCAGTGTCCCCGGACCATTGTTGTGCATCCCAAGACTATCTTTGGGTGTCCCAGGGCTGTCACTGGGTGTCCCAAAGCCATTGCTGGGTGTCTCAGGACTATTGCCAAGCGTACCATGCCTTCACCAGGCATCCCAGAGACATCACTGAGTGCCCCAGGGTCATCGCCAGGAGATCCAGGGCCATCACTGGTCATCCTAGGGCCACTGCTGGGTGTCCCAAGGCCATCGCTGGTGTCCCAAGGCCATCACTGGGCATCCTAGGGCCCTCGTTGGTGTCCTAGGACCACCTCCAGGCAGCCAGGGCCGCCGCCGGGCGCCCCCACAGCGCAGCCGTGCGGGGGGCGGCAGG